TGATAGCCATGTATAAATATGTGAGAGGAAGCCACAGGGAGGAGGGAGCAAGCTTGTTTTCTGCTTCCCTGGAGACTAGGACGCAGAACAATGGCTTCAAACTTCAAGAGAGGAGATTCCATCTGAACATGAGGAAGAACTTCCTGACTGTGAGAGCCGTTCAGCAGTGGAAACCTCTGCCCCGGAGTGTGGTGGAGGCTTCTTCTTTGGAAGCTTTTAAACAGAGGCTGGATGGCCATCTGTCAGGGGTGATTTGAATGCAATATTCCTGCTTCTTGGCAGGGGGTTGGACTGGATGGCCCATGAGGTCTCTTCCAACTCTTTGATTCTATGATTCTATGATTTCTCCATAAGCAATTCAGAGTCAGAAAACATGACTCCCTGTGCCATGAACATGTCTCTCAACCCCTGCCAATGTCCTCCCCAAATACCATACTGCCCAACACCCAAGGAATGTTTTCATTCGGGGACAATTTCATTCTAGATCAGTGTTTCTCAACCTGGGGGTCGGGACCCCTGAGGGGGTCGTGAGAGGGTGTCAGAGGGGTCACCAAAGACCATCAGAAAACACATATTTCTGATGGTCTTTGGAACACAGTGCTCTCTGGAGGTAGGTGAACTACATCTCCCCTAAATCGCTGTCAATTCCTCCGAAACCCCTCCACTATTTTCTATTGGTCATGGGGGCTCTGTGTGGGAAGTTTGGCCCAACTCTATCATTGGTTGGGTTCAAGAGGCTCTTTGATTGTAGGTGAACTATAAATCCCAGCAACAACAGCTCCCGAATGACAAGGCCTATTTTTCCCAAACTCCACCAGTGTTTGCAGGTGGGCATATTGAGTGATTGTGCTGAGTTTGGTTCAGATTTGTCATTGTTTGAGTGGATGTAGGTGAAGTACAACTCCAAAACTCAAGGTCGATGCCCACCAAAATCTTCCAGTATTTTCTGTTGGTCATGAGAGTTCTGTGGGCTAAGTGTGGTTCAATTCCATCGTTGGTGGAGTTCAGAATGCTCTTTGATTATAGGTGAACTATAAACCCCAGGAACTACAACTCCCAGATGATAAAATCAATTTGCCCTCAACCCCACTAGTGTTCAAATTTGGGCATATTTGGTATTTGTGCCAAATTTGGTCCAGTGAATGAAAATACATCCAGCATATCAGATATTTACATTACGATTCATAACAGTAGCAAAATTGCAGATATGAAGGAGCAACGAAAATAATTTTATGGTTGGGGGTCACCACAACATGAAGAACTGTACTAAGGGGTCGCGGCATTAGGAAGGTTGAGAACCACTGTCCTAGATGTTCTGTTTTCCCTTCAGAATGGACATTGGGATTTGCATGAGACCGCCCACTGCCTTTCYCTTAACTCTTTCCTGTGGCACAACGCCAGTCAATTAAAGCATAATCACCCTATTTGCTCTAAAGGGAAATGCCAAGGACTGAGCCCCAGGGGTATGAGGAGTGTTCCCAGTGCCAATAGGATGTCTTTGTGATTTGGGGAATAACGCTATGTAACATAAGTTGAAAAAAATGTTCTGTTCCTGTTTTAAAAGTGTTGTTGTTCATTCGTTCAGTCGTCTTCGACTCTTCATGACCTCATGGACCAGCCCACGCCAGAGCTCCCTGTCAGCCGTCACCACCCCCAGCTCCTTCAAGGTCAGTCCAGTCACTTCAAGGATGCCATCCATCCATCTTGCCCTTGGTCGGCCCCTCTTCCTTTTGCCTTCCACTTTCCCCAGCATCATTGTCTTCTCTAGGCTTTGCTGTCTCCTCATGATGTGGCCAAAGTACTTCAACTTTGTCTCTGGTATCCTTCCCTCCAATGAGCAGTCGGGCTTTATTTCCTGGAGGATGGACTGGTTGGATCTTCTCGCAGTCCAAGGCACTCTCAGAACTTTCCTCCAACACCACACCTCAAAAGCATCGATCTTCCTTCGCTCAGCCTTCCCTAAGGTCCAGCTCTCACATCCGTAGGTTACTACACGGAATACCATGGCTTTGACTAGGCGGATCTTTGTTGCCAGTCTGATGTCTCTACTCTTTACTATTTTATCGAGACTGGACATTGCTCTCCTCCCAAGAAGTAAGCGTCTTCTGATTTCCTGGCCACAGTCTGCATCTGCAGTAATCTTTGCGCCTAGAAATACAAAGTCTGTCACGGCCTCCACATTTTCTCCCTCTATTTTCCAGTTGTCAATCATTCTTGTTGCCATAATCTTGGTTTTTTTGATGTTTAGCTGCAACCCAGCTTTTGCGCTTTCTTCTTTCACCTTGATTAGAAGGCTCCTCAGCTCATCCTCGCTTTCGGCCATCAGGGTGGTGTCATCTGCATATCTGAGGTTGTTAATGTTTCTTCCAGCAATTTTCACCCCAGCTTTGCATTCATCAAGCCCCGCACATCGCATGATGTGTTCTGCATACAAGTTTAAAAGGTTGGGTGAGAGGATGCAGCCTTGCCGTACGCCTTTCCCAATCTTGAACCAGTCTGTTGTTCCGTGGTCAGTTCTGACTGTTGCTACTTGGTCCTTGTACAGATTCCTCAGGAGAGAGACAAGGTGGCTTGGGATGCCCATCCCACCAAGAACTTGCCACCATTTATTATGATCCACACAGTCAAAGGCTTTAGAGTAGTCAATGAAGCAGAAATAGATGTTTTTCTGAAACTCCCTGCCTTTCTCCATTCTCCAGCATCCGGATATTGGCAATCTGGTCTCTCGTTCCTCTGCCTTTTCTAAACCCAGCTTGAACATCTGGCAACTCTCGCTCCATGTATTGCTGGAGTCTTCCTTGCAGGATCTTGAGCATTACCTTACTGGCATGAGAAATAAGGGCCACTGTATGGAAGTTGGAGCAGTCTTTCGCATTTCCCTTTTTTGGTATGGGGATATAAGTTGATTTTTTCCAGTCTGATGGCCATTCTTGTGTTTTCCATATTTGCTGGCAAATGGCATGCATCACCTTGACAGCATCATCTTTTAGGATTTTAAACAGTTCAGCTGGGATCCCGTCGTCTCCTGCTGCCTTGTTGTTAGCAATGCTTCTTAAGGCCCATTCAACCTCACTCCTCAGGATGTCTGGTTCTAATTCATTCACCACACCGTCAAAACTATCCTCGATATTATTATCCTTCCTATACAGATCTTCTGTATAGTTTCGCCACCTTCTCTTGATCTCTTCAGCTTCTGTTAGGTCCCTGCCATCTTTGTTTCTTATCATACCAAAAAGTGTTTAAAAGTGTTATTTCCTGTTTAATTGTGCCGTCCTGAATTCGAAAGTAGTTGTTCTACTCCAGAAACTTCGTTTCTGTGGTTGTCACAAACTATTGAATTGGTTGAGACTCTATGAGTAAAGGTAAAGACTTTCCTGATATGGCTGATATAGGCGGGGTAAAAATGATATAAATAAATAATATATATATATTGTCGAAGGCTTTCATGGCCGGAATCACTGGGTTGTTGTAGGTTTTTTCAGGCTAAATGGCCATGTTCTAGAGGCATTTTCTCCTGACGTTTCGCCTGCATCTATGGCAAGCATCCTCAGAGGTAGTGAGGTCTGTTGGAACTAGGAAAAAGGTTTATATATCTGTGGAATGACCAGGGTGGGACAAAGGACTCTTGTCTGCTGGAGCTAGGTGTGAATGTTTCAACTGACCACCTTGATTAGCTAGAACATGGCCATATAGCCCAAAAAAACCTACAACAACCCAAATAAAAAAGTAAATAGTTGTGGTGCTCATCTCCATTTCTAAGCCGAAGAGCTGGCGTTATCCATAGACTCTTCCAAGGTTATGTGGCCAGCATGACTGCATGGAGCGCTGTTACCTCCCTGCCGGAGCGGTACCTATTGATCTACTCACATTTACATGTTTTCAAACTGCCATGTTGACAGAAGCTGGGGCTAACAGCGGGAGCTCACCCTGCTCCCTGGATTCGAACCACTGACCTTTCGGTCAACAAGTTCAGCAGCTCAGCGGTTTAACCCGCTGTGCTGTCAGGGACTCTGACTCTATGAGGCATTCATTGAAAAACGATCACAAAATGTGCTGCAGAAACAAAGTTTTTGCAGTCTGATACACTTTTTTCATGTTTTGAATATAGAACCAATTAGGAAATGAGATTTATAACCCAGGAAGAGACATCATGTTACATAGGGTACTTACTTACTTACTTAGGCGATCCCTCGTTGGACGAGTAAGATGGTCTTGATGGGTTTCCTTGTGGATTCGTAGGTGGCTGTGGAGCCCTATTCTTGACCCGCATCTTCTCCCACAGTGAGGGCATTGGTTTCCAGGTGGAAGGCGGACTCAGTCGGGGTTGGCTTGATGCCCCTTCCTCCTGGCATGTTTCTCTCTTTCACCCTCCACTCGTGCCTCCTCGAATTCTGCAGCACTGCTGGTCACAGCTGACCTCCAGCTGGAGCGCTCAAGGGCCAGGGCTTCCCAGTTCTCAGTGTCTATGCCAGAGATTTTAAGGTTGGCTTTGAGCCCATCTTTAAATCTCTTTTCCTGTCCACCAACGTTCTGTTTTCCGTTCTTAAGTTCAGAGTAGAGCAACTGCTTTGGGAGACGGTGGTCAGGCATCCGGACAACGTGGCCACCCAGCGGAGTTGATGGCCGAGGACCATCGCTTCAGTTCTGGTGGTCTTTGCTTCTTCCAGCACACTGACGTTTGTCTCCTTATCTTCCCAAGAGATTTGCAAGATTTTCCGGAGGCAGCGCTGATGGAATTGTTCCAGGAGTTGCATGTGACGTCTGTAGACAGTCCACGTCTCACAGGCATAGAGCAGGGTTGGGAGGACAATAGCTTTATAGACAAACACCTTGGTATTCCTACGGATGTCCTGGTCGTCAAACACTCTCTGCTTCATTTGGGGAAATGCTGCACTCGCAGAGCTCAGGCGGTGTTGTATTTCGGGTAACCTTGCCTTGTGGGGCTGGTTTGTTTCTTTCCTCTGACCTTCTTCCTGACCCTTTTCCTTTTTGCCTTCCAGATTGGAGACGACGAGCAGGGCTACGATCTTGACTTATTCTGCATCCCCAAACATTACGCGGACGACTTGGAAAAGGTCTACATCCCGCACGGCCTCATTATGGATCGGTCAGTTGGAGCAGCATTCAGAACATGACTCTCTTTCAGGACTAGATCTATGCAGTCATATAATGCAGTTCAAATGGCATCATGCGTTTCCAAAGGCTTTCATGGCCGGAATCACTGAGTTGCTGTGAGTTTCTGGGATGTATGGCCAATGTTCCAGAAGCATTCTTTTCTGACGTTTCTCCCACATCTATGGCAGGCTTCCTTAGAGGTTGTGAGGTCTGTTGGAAACTAGGCAAGTGGGATTTACTGTATATACTCGAGTATAAGCCTAGTTTTTCAGCCCCTTTTTTAGGCTGAAAAAGCTGCCCTCGGCTTATACTCGAGTCAAAGTTATTTAGTATTTTACTCTGTTATTACTATTATTTTTTATTACATTTATTATTTTTCTCTATTATTGGTATTATTACATTTTACTCTATTATTTTACTCTATTATTTTACTGTATTATTATTTTATTACATTTAATTTACTCTATTTATTATTATTACTATTACATTTATTATTTTACTTTAGTATTATTGTTATTACATTTATTATTTGCCTCTATTGTTATTTTATTACATTTACTAGCTGTCCACTGCCACACGTTGCTGTGGCCCACATAGGGGTTCTGTGTGGGAGGTTTGGCCCAATTCTATCATTGGTGGGGTTCAGAATGCTCTGTGATTGTAGGTGAACTATAAATCCCAGCAACTACAACTCCCAAATATCAAGATTCTATTTTCCACAAACTCCACCAGTATTCACATTTGGGCATATTGAGTATTTGTGTAGAGTTTGGTCCAGATCCATCATTGTTTGAGTCCACAGTGGTCTCTGGATGTAGGTGAACTACAACTCCAAAACCAAAGGACACTGCCCACCAAATCCTTCCAGTATTTTCTGTTGGTCATGGGAGAACTGTGTGCCAAGTTTGGTTCAATTCCATTGTTGGTGGGGTTCAGGATGCATTTTGTAGGTGAACTATAAATCCCAGCAACTACAACTCCCAAATGACAAAATCAATTTTTTTTTTGAGTGAAGGACATACATTGTGTTGTTAGGTGTCTTGCGTCCAAATTTGGAGTCAATTCGTCCAGTGGTTTTTGAGTTCTGTTAATCCCACAAACGAACATTACATTTTTATTTATATAGATCTAACACACATATAGAAAAAAATCTGCATATACACTATTTTGGGAAATACAAATAGGCCATGTTGGGAGGCCTGGGCAAACTTCAGTCCTCAAGGTATTTTGGACTGCAACTCCCACTCTTCTTACCAGCCTCAGACCTTTTTGCTTTTCTCCCTCAGCTGCTTAAGCCACTGATGTTAATGTTTAAAACGTTTCAAACCTCTGGTCTGAGACCATAATAGGATTCATTCATATCTTTCGCAAGTTGTCCAGTAACTAGGCAAAGGCTGGGCTTTGTTTTGGCAAAGGGAGCTTGGCAGCCGCAGCTATTAGATTAACCTTGACAAGTGAGAAAAACCAGAAATGTCACTGACCAGTATATATAGCCCTATTCACTGGCAGATGGGCACCCAATGCACACTGCTCAATGAACGGGCCCGTGTTTGTCTTGGCCTGTTCATTTCCTAGCATTGGGCCCAGGCCTCCATATGAGTCACGAATTATCAAGAAAGCGCTAGATGTAACACGATTTCTGCTCCCGGGTGCTTAATAATAATAATAATAATAATAATAATAATAATAATAATAATAATAATAATAATAATAATAATAATAATAATATAAACTTTATTTATACCCCGCTACCATCTCCCCAAGGGACTCAGTGTGGCTTACATGAGGCCGAGCCCAAACACAACAATGCAAACAATAATAACAACAATACAAGCAATTAAAAACACATGGACAATAAGAAACAACATTATCGAGCCCAAAGTACATCAACAGTAAAAGCAATAAAAAACAATACAATCTATATAAATAAAAATGTAATGTTAGTTCGTGCTACCATCAGAACTCAAAAACCACTGGGGGAATTGTCACCAAATTTGGACACAAGACACCTAACAGTCCAATGTATGTCCTTGTACAGAAGTTGATTGTAAATGATATGATTATAAACTGTATTGATTGTAAATTATATTATTATAACTGTATTTGTGTTTACACTGGTTGCCCTAATGCTGGAGCGGCCTAGCTGTGAGGAGTGTGTTACCATGGAAACGATGCTAATGCTGGAGCGGCCTAGCTGTGAGGAGTGTGTTACCATGGAAACAATGCTGTAGAGAAGTGGGAGGAGCTTAGAGAGGGGAGTTTTGAAAAGCGACAGTTAAAAGTTAGTTAGGTTTTATGCTCAGAGGAGTGAAGAGTCATGAAGAGTTAGGGTTTAGGCTCAGAAGAGTGCACAGTCATGAAGAGTCAGGGTTGAGGCTCAGAGGAATGAAGAGTTAGGTTTAGGCTCAGGGAAGTGAAGAGTTGAGAGAGAGAGAGAGTGGGAAGTAGAGAAGCAGTGTTTGTGAATAGTCGGAGGTTTCTTCAGTTCGGGAAGGCTGAAGGGGAAACCTTATTAGTTTTATTAGTTAGAGAAGACTAATAGAAGCTCGTTTAGATCACTAGTTAAAAGTGAACTAGAGATCTGAGGTTTGATCACGGAAGGGTCAAACAGGAAGACTATTCACCTCAGGAACCATTGTTTAATAAAGTGCTTCACCACAGCAAAGGTTATTTATAAGTTGTAACATCAGAAGACTGAACTGTATCGCAACCAAGTTATATGTAACGTTCTCCAAGTATTTTCCAAGTTTATCACCAAACTGCAACCATACGCTTTGTTTCAAAATAAACTTGTTCTCTTTGATTGTAAAACTGCCTCATCTCCATTAATTCTGCGTTTAGTGTGCCCAATCTCCCAAAATTACCTCACATCACCAAATTGGTGGCACCATTAAGGATAATAAATAATAATTCATAACTTCTCTCTCCTGGGACCTCCCTTGCTGAATTTGGGGCCCGAGCTCCTTCGCAGTCCTCCACTCAAAAAAATTGATTTTGTCATTTGGGAATTGTTGTTGCTGGGATTTATAGTTTACCTACAATCAAAGAGCATTCTGAACTCCACCAATGATGGAATTGGGCCAAACTTAGCACACAGGGCTCCCATGACCAACAGAAAAAACTGGAAAGATTTGGTGGACATTGACCTTGAGTTTGGGAATTATAGTTCACCCACATCCAGAGAGCACTGTGGACTCAAACAATGATGGATCTGGACCAAACTTGGCACGAATATTCCATATGCCCAAATATGAACACAGATGGAGTTTAAGGGAAATAGACCTTGACATTTGGGAGTTGTAGTTGCTGGGATTTATAGTTCACCTACAATCAAAGAGCATTCTGAACTCCACCAATGATGGAATTCAACCAAACTGGCACACAGACTCCCATGACCAACAAAACACTGGAAGGGTTTGGGGCATTGACCTTGAGTTTGGGAGTTGTAGTTCACCTACATCCAGAGAGCACTGTGGATCAAACAATGATGGATCTGGACCAAACTTGACACAAAAATTCCATATGCCTAAATATGAACACAGATGGAGTTTGGAGGAAATAGACCTTGACATTTGGGATTTGTAGTTACTGGGATTTAAAGAGCATTCTGAAACCCACAAACGACAGAAATGGGGCAAACATCCCACACAGAACCCCCATGACCAACAGAAAATACTTAAGGCCATCCAGTCCAACTCTCTTCACCAGGGCAAGAAAATGTAATCAGAGCCCTCCTGACAAAGAGCCATCCAGTCATAAATAGAGATAGATAGATATGATTCTCTCACACACACACAGATATACTATCATAGATTTGAAAGGGACCCTTAAAGAAGGACTATGATATGTTGCATATTCCAGAATAGGCAAACCAGACAATCTCCACATCAACACTGACAAAGAAACAACAAGAAATACTGTTTACCCACAAGCATAAAGGAATTACATATATTAGAAACCAACACTTTCTCATTACTTTATTTTCCAGATCACCAGACTGGGCCACAGCAATGCGTGGCAGGGGACAGCTAGTAGTTAAAATAAATCTCATACACAAAACTAAACAATAAACAATAACAACAAGCATTTAAAACCTATGACTGGGCCATAAATGCCATTTCCTAATGGGTTATATCAAAAAACGATGGGAAAAGTTTATCAAACTGCCCAAACTTTGTTCTTGCAGGAGAGCACATTTTGCTAGAGTTTTCCAATGAAGATACCATCAAGTCTCAACCAATTCATCCTAGTTTGTGGCAGCCACAAAAGGAAAAAAATCTGGATTAGAACAGCTACAGTCGAATTTCGCTTATTTGACCTTCACTTATCTAACATTCTATCTTATCCGGCACTCTTATCCGACGCCCGCCCCTCTTTCCTCCAGCATTTCCCTTTCAACTCAAGGCTTTCAACTCCAACCATGGGGAGGTGCTGTTATGAACCCAAAGAGGTTCCTGTTCTTTTGTGCAGAATGTTCAAGGAATAGTAAGGCAGTTTAGACCAATGAGACACTTTAGAGACCACATTTGGTTTTAAGACTATTCATGTAACATTTATTGAAATACAATAATCACAGAATCATATTAGAATCACATCAAGGAGAGCTCTCATACACACATATATTCACACATACACATACACAGGCCTTCTCCAGACGAAGATTATCAGCTTTCCTCTGAGAAGGTGTGGACGTTCCCATTGCCGCGGATCAGGAAACGTGCATCTTCTTGGTGCCCCCTGCATTTATAGGCAAAAATCCATTTTCTTCTTTTTAATAATCAGGTTGTTCTGTTCCTTTCAAGTCCTTGTTCTTTTCCAAAGTTCAAGATATTCACATTCCAGGCCTCATGACTTATGGGGTACACCTTCACACTCCTTATCCTCCTTACATGCTTGGCCGCACACCTTATTGTTCATTGTCATTCAGTTATACCTTGCTGCCTCCTGGCTTTGACTGCCAAGGCCATCCCCTATCATGCCTTGCGAGAACTCCATGTTGGTTTTTCTTTAGCTTCTTTAGGCCTGTTTCTTCTGTTCCTCTGCATGCATCCAAACATTCATTTTTTACAGTGCTCTTGTTCCATTTCCAAGCCAAGGAACCTGTTGTCCATGGACTCCTCTTGGTTGTGTTGCCAGCATGGCTGCATGGGTACCTTTATTATCATCCTGCCAAAATGGTACCTATTCATCTAATCACATTTGCATGTTTTCAAACTGCTAGGTTGGCAGGAACTTGGACTAACAGTGGGAGCTCAACCCAGCCCTTGTTGGGTTGAGCTCCCTGGCGTTATTTATTTATTTATTTATTTATTTCGAGCATTTCTACCCTGCCCTTCTCAACCCCCTAGGCGGAGATCAGGGCGGCTTCCAGCCGGCACATATTAGATGCCCACAGTTAACCCAATAAAATACATACCAACAGTTGTGCTGTCACACGCTGGGCCTGTGAAAGAGTATGTAGACAGGACATGTTTTCTGAATGCCCAATGGGACGCCAGGGGTGCCTCGGCTGAGAGGCCCTTCGGATTTCCCCACACAAAGTTCTTTTAAAGACTTAGAAAGGTCAACAAAGTTTTTATTGTTGCTTAAATCTTCAATAAATCAAACAAATACTTCAAGGCTTTGAATCAATCGGTGGCTTGCTTAAATCTTGTCTACAAGGGACAGGCAACTTTCTTCATAAATTGTTTCTTCCTCCTACAAGGGAAATCCTTGACCCCTCCCGGGGCAATCTGACTTAAGCTCTGTTGGTGTGGGCCCCTCTGGGGGTCGCGAGGGAGTGTCAGAGGGGTCGCCAAAGACCATGAGAAAACATAGTATTTTCTGTGGGTCATGGGGGTTCTGTGTGGGAAGTTTGGCCCAATTCTATCCTTGGCGGAGAACAGAATACTCTGATTGTAGATGAACTATAAATCCCAACAACTACAACTCCCAAATGTCAAGGTCTATATTCCCCAAACTCCACCAGTATTCACATTTGGGCATATGGAGTATTTGTGCCAAGTTTGGCCCAGATCCATCATTGTTTGGGTCCACAGTGCTCTCTAGATGTAGGTGAACTACAACTCCAAAACTCAAGGTCAATACCCACCAAACCCTTCCAGTATTTTCTGTAGTTCATGTGTACCAAGGTTGGTTCAATTCCATCATTGGTAGAGTTCAGAATGCTCATTGATTGTAGGCAAACTATAAATCCCAGCAACTACACTCTCAAGTGACAAAATCAATCCCCCCAACCTCATGTATTGGGTATTTGTGCCCAGTTTGGTCTAGTGAATGAAAATAAATTCTGCATGTCGGATATTTACATTACAATACATAACAGTAGCCAAATTAGATGTAGGTGAACTACACCTCCAAAACTCAAGGTCAATGCCCAGCAAACAATTCCCATGTTTTCTGTTGCTCATGAGAGGTCTGTGTTCCAAATTTGCTTCAATTCCGTTGTTGGTGGAGTTCTGAATGCTCTTTGATTGGAGGTGAACTATAAATCCCAGCAATTACAACTCCCAAATGACAAAATCAATCCTCTCCACAATCCCACCAGTATTCAAATTTGGTTGTATTATTGGATATTTGTGCCCAGTTTGGTCCAGTGAATGCAAATATATCCTGCATATCGGATGTTTACATTACGATTCATAATAGGAGCACAATTACAGTTGTGAAGTAGCAATGAAAATAATGTTATGGTTGAGGGGCACCACAACATAAGGAACAGTATTAAGGGGTCGTGGCATTAGGAAGGTTGAGAACCACTGAATCCTCATATTTTTTTAGGCTCCAATGGGCTTTACGTCCATCTTGACATGACATCAGTGTGTCTACTCAATCCTCGGAATTATATTATTTTTCCCCTCCAACAGGACAGAAAGGCTGGCGCGGGAGATCATGAAGGGCATGGGAGGACACCACATTGTGGCCCTCTGCGTCCTGAAAGGCGGCTACAAATTTTTTGCTGACTTGCTGGACTACATCAAGGCCCTGAACCGGAACAGCGACAGGTCCATCCCGATGACGGTCGACTTCATCCGGTTGAAGAGCTACTGCGTGAGTAGATGAGCGCTTATCTTATTGTATGTTCACACTCATGCATATGACATAACCCATCTGGGCTCGAGTCTCATGCGCCATCGAATCTGACGTGTGTATGTGGCTGGAGTGTCCACTTTCACAGACATGCTCCTGCCTCCACATATAGCTATAGCTATATTGGGAGGGATAGCCAATACTCCAGAGGACAGGAGCAGGATTCAAAACGATCTTGATAGATTAGAGAGATGGGCCAAAACTAACAAAATGAAGTTCAACAGGGACAAATGCAAGATACTCCACTTAGGCAGGAAAAACAAATGCAAAGATACAGAATGGGGGACAATGCCTGGCTCGAGAGCAGTACGTGTGAAAAAGATCTTGGAGTCCTTGTGGACAACAAGTTAAACATGAGCCAACAATGTGATGTGGCGGCAAAAAAAGCCAATGGGATTTTGGCCTGCATCAATGGAGCATAGTGTCTAGATCTAGGGAAGTAATGCTACCCCTCTATTCTGCTTGGTTAGACCACACCTGGAATATTGTGTCCAATTCTGGGCACCACAATTGAAGAGAGATATTGACAAGCTGGAATGTGTCCAGAGGAGGGCGACTAAAATGATCAAGGGTCTGGAGAACAAGCCCTATGAGGAGCAGCTTAAGGAGCTGGGCATGTTTAGCCTGAAGAAGAGAAGGCTGAGAGGAGATATGATAGCCATGTATAAATATGTGAGAGGAAGCCACAGGGAGGAGGGAGCAAGCTTGTTTTCTGCTTCCTTGGAGACTAGGACATGGAACAATGGCTTCAAACTACAAGAGAGGAGATTCCATCTGAACATGAGGAAGAACTTCCTGACTGTGAGAGCCCGTTCAGCAGTGGAACTCTCTGCCCCGGAGTGTGGTGGAGGCTCCTTCTTTGGAAGCTTTTAAACAGAGGCTGGATGGCCATCTGTCAGGGGTGATTTGAATGCAATATTCCTGCTTCTTGGCAGGGGCTTGGACGGGATGGCCCATGAGGTCTCTTCCAACTCTTTGATTCTATGATTCCACTTCTCAGAAGACACCAAAGGCCCTCCTTCCAATAACATTGCCAGTTATAGTGAGGGCCATGGACATGTCCAAGAGCCCTGCCAACAAAGTCATGTGGCCGGCATGACTGCATGGAGTGCCATTAACTTCCCACCAGAGCGCTACCTATTGATCTACTTTGGGACGGCCCTAGGTAATTTTCAACAGTAAGCAAACAGTATTTTGGTGCCCCCCCCCCCCCAACCAATCACTGATATATATTTTCTGTTCGTCGTGGGAGTTCTGTGTGCCATATTTGGTTCAATTCCATCATTGGTGGAGTTCAGAATGCTCTTTGATTGTAGTTGAACTATACATCCCAGTAACTACAACTCGCATATGTCAAGGTCTATTTTCTCCCAAGAGCGCCTCAAGAGTGCTCCTGGGCAAAATCAACTATACTGCAAATGCTTACTTTGCGTAATGGGTTGAGCCACCCCTGCCAATATCCTTCACCATCACCATACTGAAGGCTTCCATATGGGGACAATTTCATCCTAGTGTTGCAACCCAGATCCTAAGATAACCATCCACCACACTTGACTGTAGGAAAAACAATCCCTTTTTATTGATGAAAAATGGTTACAAAATAGAGGAAAATGCACAGTCAAAAAGCCACAGTAAAAATCAGCAACCAGAAATGTCCATGTACTGGATCAAAAACCAAAAGCAACACTGTAAAATCCTGGAACCTGATAGCAATCCACTAACCGTACTTGGAGCACTAGAAGCCTCTTGGGATGAAGGCCACGGGAAACGGGGGATCTGCCAAGGTAATGCCTCAGTTTAAAACGATGCCTGATCTAAAGAGTCAACCCGGCGAGAGGCACTTAAAGCCGAGGAAACTGTTTTGTGACACGCCTCCAGGCTTTGAAGCCCTTGTTTCTCTTTCTTTTAATCTGCTTGACCTTCGCAGACTCTGCGATTCACTCCTGCTTTTCCAAATCTGTCCTCTTCTATCCTCATTAAGGATCCCAGGTGTTAGCTTCCCTGGAGCTATCACCGCTTGACCCTGAAACATTCTCCTGAGAACTTTCAGTTTCCAAGCCTTCCAAGCCTGCAGGAGTTTCTTGTACACTGGCCTCAGAATCAACATTTTCATTAGCATTAGGAAATACATTTTCATTAGAATCATTTTCAGTAGCATCAGGAAATACAACCAGAGAAGCAGGTTCAAGTTCAGGTTCACACCCAGGCTGAACCCCAACACCTAGATATTATGTGTTTCCTCCACCACAGACATCCCAGTGTTTCTTATTCTCTCCGTTGGTGTGGAATTTACATGACCCCGCTCACTGACTCTCCCTTAACTCTTTCCTGTTCTTTCCTATGGCACACAGCAAACAGAAGAATTGGACCTGGACCAAACTTGGCACACAGAACCGCATGACTAACTCAATTACTGGAGGGGTTTGAGGGGATTGACTCACTATAGTGGGAGTTGTAGTTTACTCTACAGCCAAAGAGCACACTAAACCCCACCAATGACGCACCCAGAGCAAACTTGTCCAACATAAGAAACTTTATGTACTGATGGAATTTCTTGGGGTTAACCTGGCAGGATGTGAGTTGTAGTTCACCCACAACCTTATGCATTTTGTACCCAAGCTAATAATAATAATAATAATAATAATAATAATAATAATAATAATAAGTTGATGGGTGTCAGGATCTGGTCTTCGAGCTTAAGTCAACAAAAGCTGGAATCCTCCCTCCTGACCTGATAAGGGCCATCTGGCCAGGAAGTAATGCTCTGTGTTCTTTGGGAATGGAGTGTTGTCACAAACCAAGATAAGGGGGAGGAAGGAGGGGTGTGAATCGAGTGGGTAATATACCACTGCTTTGGCAGGAAGCATTCAGATCTAACTTCGTTTCATCCTGGCAAGACTGAATAATAAACGTGTATCCAAGGAATCTCCCTTGTGAGCGTGGTTTGGTTCTGAGATCTTCCTGGAGCTGACATAAAGTTAGATCTCACAAAATTTCTGCTTACCCCATGAGCAACCTACTGTCCGGTGAGAGCATCATGTCGGATGAGGAATCCCAGTTGCCCATGGGGGCCGAGGCCCCAGGGAGTCCGGAGGCCAGCTTGCAAGCGACCTTGGCGTCGGGGCTCAAGGAGGACCTATATCCAAGAGAAGATGACCTGGAGGAAGGGCACCCCACTGCCTGGCTGCAGATGACGTCCACCCAGATGCCTTCCCAAAAAGATGTAACAGTGAGATGGTAACTGCCCATGTCCGAGGGGTTGGAGATTCTGGGAGAACCCTCTTCGGAAACCAGGCGGCTGGAGATGAAAGTCGATGCGATGGAGCGTATGTTGCAAACTTTCTCCTTCCAACTGGGAGAAATGAGGAAGGAAGTGGCAGAATCATGGAAAGCCACCGTGAAGGAGAGAGAGCAAAGGCAAGGAACTGCCTATTGGCCTTCAGGCCGAGTGGATTTTGTGGGAGATTGGGACTACCCGCCACCCCAAGGTACGTCAGCTTTCACCATGGGACTGTTGGGGAGAAGTCAGATGCAAGTCGCACCCAGAAGGGGAGAACTGCGCGTCAAATTTAATGGCGACCCGATGTAGCTGTCTTACTTCATTACTAATGTGAGGCATTATATGGAGGACTATGGTGATACCTTCCCCTCAGAGGAGGCAAAGATCCATGCGGTGGGGGCAAACCTAAAAGAAGCTGCTGCCGACTGGTTGATGCCGCTGTACAACACTCGAATGCCTGAGCTGAGAAGATTGAACGATTTTCTCAGGGTCCTCCGAGAAAGATTCCAGGACCCCTTAACTGAAGAAAAAGCCAAGGGACAGCTAAAAAGGATATACCAGGGAAACAAGACTGTGTCTGAGTATGCCTTGGAGTTTAAGGCAGTCGCTGGCCAAATACAAGACAGGTCAGAAACTACCAAACTAGAATGTTTCCATGCTGGGTTAAGAGCGGATGTGCTGGAGTGGGCCATGCATCGGGGCAACCCAGACAACCTAGACGATTGGATCATATGGGTCGGGACAGTCGAATGCGACAAGGAGCAAATGCCACGACACTCCAGGGAAGGAGGCTGAACCAGGCATCCCGCAGAAGGACAACCCGGGGGGGATTTAATTTTCACTCTTAAGGTTTTATTTCAGATGCAGAATATTTATTTCTGCTTGAATCATCAGAGTAGATATTGATGACGATTATGTGCAGGGTTTGTTTGCGTGTTCCAGGCATTTATGAGCTGCCCCACAGCAACCCATTTGCCACTGAACCAAAACAAATCGCTCCAACCCCAAAACTGTAAGGAGAAAAAAAAAACCCTAATTGTTGCAAGGCAGTGTCTGGAAAGCATTATTTCTCCAATTTGGGGTATTTTACCTCTACGATTTCTCTCTCCCCTTCACCTATGGACCTGATTACAGTATTGGGCAAAGGAAATGATTGGAGGAGACAGACAAATTGGAAACATCATTCCATAATATGGCTGAATTGACTGTGAAATAAGCAATTACTGGTAAGTTGTTTATTGGGGAATCGAGTATCGATGTTCCGTGAACCACCAATCTTTGTTTCTTTTGGACTTTATGGAACACAGGATATGTTTTCAAAAGAGTTGCTTTGCTTTTAGTAAACGTTGGCTGGGGAGCTGGAAATGAGCGCCTTAACTTGGTTGTCCTTCCTTTCTCAAACCAGAATGACCAGTCAACAGGTGAAATAAAGGTCATCGGAGGGGACGACCTCTCGACCTTGACTGGGAAGGTAGGTGCCCTTCCCTTCCCTTCTTTCCCTTCCTTTCTCTTTCCTACCCTTTCTCCTCTCTCCCCTTCTTTTCCTTTCAACTTCTTTCTTCCTTCATTTCTTTTCCTTTGCTCTCCTTTCTTCCTTTCATCTCCCTTCTTTCCTTTCTCCTTCCCTTTCCTTTCCTCCCCTTCCTTTCCCATCCCTTCCCCTCCCATCCTTTCTCTTTCCCCTCTTTTTCCTTTCTTTCCTTTTCCTTCTTTCCTTTCAATTCCTTTCTATTCTTTCCCTTCCTTCCTCCCCCTCCCTCCCCCCTTCCTTCCTTCCTTCCTTCCTTTTTTCCTCTCCTTTATTCCTTTCATTTTCTTCCTTTGTCTTTCCTTTTCCTCCCCTTCCTTTCTCTTTCAGTTCCTTTCCTTATCCGTTCCTTTCCCTTCTTTCCTTTCTTCCTTCTCTTTCTTTCTCTTTTTCTTCACTTCCCTTCTCTTTCCATCCCTTCTCCTCCCGTCTTTTATCTTTCCCTTCTTTTTCCTTTCTTTCCTTTTCCTTATTTTCTCGTTCCCTTCCTTTCTCTTTCCTACCCTTTTCTTTCCTTTCTCCTCTCTCCCTTTCTTCCTTTTCTTTCCCTTTCCCTTCTTCCTTTCATTTCACTTTCCTTCCTCTTTCATTTTCCTCCCCCTCCTTTCTCTTTTCCTTCCCTTCTTTTCCCTTCTTTCCTACCTCCTACTCTTCCTTTCTCATTTTCTTCCCTTCTCTTTCCCTCCTTTCTGTCACCACCCTTTTCTTTCCTTTCTCCCCTCCCTCCTTTCTTCCTCTCCCTTCTMTCTCCCTCCCTTCTTTCTTTCTTTCCTTCCTTTCTCATCCCCTTCCTTTTCCTTTCCTCTCCCTTCTTTCCTTCTGCCCTTTTTTTGTCATTCTTTTCCTCTCTCCTTCCCTTCCTTTGTCTTTCCTTTCTTTTCTCTCTTTTCTGAAAATTGTATTGTGTCTTACATTAACATCCATAGGTTTTTTTTAAACTGATATAATAAACATTTTGCTCGGAGTCCAAAAGCATGCACTAATGAGCATTCGAGCTATTTAACCACAAGGCTCTGTTTGAAGCCATTTTTTCCTGTTTTTTGGTTCTCGAACTTCCGCCTATATTTCTATACCGGGCACAATTCTATAAAGCTTTGGCCTATAAAGCACTAAATGGCCCTGGCCCAGTTTACCTCCTTTTACAAACCACTGTGGAAGCTAAGATCTTCTGAGGAGGCCCTGTTCTCAGTCCCGCCACCATCACAGGTGCATTTGGTAAGGACAAGAGACAGGGCCTTCTCAGTGATTGCCCCCCTTTGGGGCAGTGCAATGAGGCAAAATGGCATCCTGAGATTGTTTTTAAGCAACTTTTAATGTGAAGTGATTTTAATGTTTGTATATATTTATGGTTGTATGTACCGGCATTGAATGTTTGCCGTATATATCTTCAGGCTCTTACGAAAGGATGGGAGGGATGGGGCCTGTCTGATTTCTCTATGACAGATATAAATGGAAAGCCACGTTTGATTTCAAAAAAAATCATCAATGTTTTTTTTTCTTTCTTTTAGAATGTCTTGATTGTAGAAGTAAGTATGTCTTTCCTTCTTTAATGTGGTAGTTAATTACTGTGTATTGATTATTATGACAGCCTTGGCTTTATTCAAGAATAACAACAAATTCTAAGCTGTGACAAAGTTGTCTGTAACTTGGATTTACTTCCTGTATTTTTGTTGTTGAATAGACTCTGTTAAATGCCAACAGAAGCTGATAATATTTTCCAAGGAAGTTCTTTCCTTCTTGCGAAGGCCATGTTAAGATATTGCTTAGCTTGTACCTCTTTCTATATTTATGATTACTTTATTTACCATTTGTCCCAATGTGTGTTCCGTGTGTGTGTTTCTCCATCAGGATATCATTGACACCGGGAAGACCATGAAAACCCTCCTCTCGCTGCTGAAGCAGTACAACCCAAAGATGGTGAAGGTGGCCAGGTAGGTTTGCCTTGTTTGGCTTTTTCAAGAAGGGTCCCATCTACACTCATTTAACCTACTTCCTTACTTAGGCAATCCCTCGTAGTCCGAGGATGATGGTCCTCCAAGAGTGGTAAACTGGGGGTGGGTCCGGAGGTGGCTGTGGAGCCCTATTCTTGATGTGCATCTTCTTCCGCAGTGAGGGCATCGGTGAGGCGGTCCCGGTCGGGATGGGCTTGACGCGCCTTCCTCTTGGCACGTTTCTCTCTTTCACCCTCCATTTGTGCCTCTTCAAATTCTGCAGCACTGCTGGTCACAGCTGACCTCCAGCTGGAGCGCTCAAGGGCCACGGCTTCCCAGTTCTCAGTGTCTATGCCAGAGTTTTTAAGGTTGGCTTTGAGCCCATCTTTAAATCTCTTTTACTGCCCATCAACATTCCGTTTTCCATTCTTGAGTTTGGAGTAGAGCAACTGCTTCAGGAGATGGGTGGTTGGGCATCCGGACAACGTGGCCGGTCCAGCGGAGTTGATGGCGGATGACCATCGCTTCAGTGCTGGTGGTCTTTGCTTCTTCCAGCACGCTGCAGGATTTTAGAGGCAGCGCTGATGGAATCATTCCAGGAGTTGCATGTGACGCCTGTAGACAGTCCACGTTTCGCAGGCATATAGCAGGGTTGGGAGGACAATAGCTTTATAAACAAGCACCTTGGTATCCCTACGGATGTCCCGGTCCTCAAACACTCTCTGCTTCATTTGGAAAAATGCTGCATTCGCAGAGCTCAGGCAGTGTTGAATTTCAGTGTCAATGTTGACTTTGGTGGAGAAGTGGCTGCCAAGGTAGCGGAAATGGTCAACATTTTCTAATGTTACACCATTAAGTTGTATTTCTGGCATTGGAGAAGGATTAGCCGGTGACTGCTGGAACAGCACTTTGGTTTTCTCGATGTTCAATGACAGGCCGAGCTTCTCGTAAGCTTTTGCAAAGGTGTTTAGAGTGGCTTGCAGGTCTTCTTCTGAATGCGCACAGACGACGTTGTCATCAGCATACTGGAGTTCGATAACCTTGGTTTTGGCTTCAGTCTGCTGGGGTTGAATAGCTTGCCATCTGTCCAATAGATGATTTCCACTCCAGTGGGTAGCTTCTCGTCAACAAGATGAAGTATCATAGCGATGAAGATGGAAAATAAGGTTGGGGCAATAACACATCCCTGTTTGACACCTGATTCCACCTTAAATGGGTCACTTTGGGAGCCATTTAACCTAGTTTGGAGCTAGCTTCAAAGTGTAGTGGCCAGACAACAGGGTTGGACTAGATACTCTCTGGGGGTCCCTTCCTGCCCAAGCCTCTTCTGCGGATGATGCAGGAGTCCGCCAGCTTCACCTGGTCCTGTCTCTTTCGCAACTAAGTGAGGGTCAGAGGACAAAGCGGCTCCTCGAGTGTTCTGTTGCCATAACAGGGGAACTTGGAGGCGATGTTTGGCCTTATCAGCCTGACCTTGAGAGGTTGATCAGGGTCCTTTGTGCCTGAAATCAACCAAATGCTTTCAGAGGAGGGAGCCCTGCCCTTTGCATGTTTCATGGGAGGATAATCTTCCAGACACAGAAGGGAGACAACATGGCTCCTTGGCTGGAGGAAGGAGGGTAGATAAGGTCGGCTCAGAAGCAGGGCTCCACCCCATAACATGAATCAGTGGGGAGAAAAAGAGATGTAGTCTCCCCCTTTGCCATTCACAAAGACAGGAAGAGGATTCCTCCTGACGCTATCTAACCATCCAACCACTGCTCTTTGCAGTGCCATTTACCATACTAAGTTCACTTCTTTGGCTCTGTTTTCTGGCAGCTTGCTGGTGAAGCGGACGCCTCGAAGTGTCGGATACCGGCCTGACTGTAAGTGGATTTTATATACAATATCCTAAAAGTATTTTATAGATCTCACACATCAAAAAAAAGGGGGTGAAGATTTTTCCTAAGTGGAGAAGAAAGGAATGATGGAGGAAAGATGGAGAAATATCTCCTCTGTCTCCAAAGTTTGTTGTACTTCGAGTTGCAAGGAAAGATGGGTAGCAAATTATTATTATTATTATTATTATTATTATTATTATTATTATTATTTTACTGACACAAAAACACAGTTTGTCACAGCAAGCAAGATATACGAGGGGTATTTTTTAAGTAAGGTCCGTTTGATCATAAATACACAACTAAGGTTTATTTCAAAAAAGTAAATTTATTTTCAGAAAGTACTGCAAAATATCTCGTTAGGTATATGCAAACGTTCCTAAATCCAAAGAACGAAGATAAGCATTTCGGATAAGAGATACTCAACTTTCAGTACAGGCAATCCCCAAGTTACAAACAAGAGAGGTTCTGTAGGTTTATTCTTAAGCTGAATGTAAGTGTAACGTCACACATACACACACCCATACACAGAGGTCCACTGGTGGTGCAGCGGGTTAACCACTGAGCTGCTGAACTTGCTGACCAAAAGGTTGGCAGTTTGAATCCGAGGAGCAGGGTGAGCTCCCACTTGTAGCCCCAGATTTTCCCAACCTAGCAGTTTGAAAACATACAATGTGAATAGATCTATACATACTGCTTCTGCAGGAATGTAATGGCACTCCATGCAGTCATGCTGGCCACATGACCTTGGAGGTGTCTACAGACAACGCAGGCTCTTTGGCTTAGAAATGGAGATGAACACCACCCCCCAGAGTTGGAAATCTTTACCTTATATCAGTGGTTCTCAACCTGGGGTCCCCAGATGTTATGGGCCTACAACTCCCAGAAATCCCAGCCAGTTTACCAGCTGTTAGGATTTCTGGGAGTTGAAGGCCAAAAACATCTGGGGACCCCAGGTTGAGAACCACTGCCTTATATAAATGTGTGTATATATATATATATATACACACACACACACACATATACATACATGCATGCAAGCCTTGGATGGCATAGGTAAGGCTGAACACCCCCTGTGATGTTTCCTTTGCTGTCTGTGTCCCTGTTTAGAAGATTCCAACTCACTTTCTGTCCCTGTGGCAATTGGACTTTGAAATATTTGGCTTGTTGTGAAAACAAAGATTGTGATAAAGCTTCAGCAGAGACCCCTTTGTCCCATGATAATAACTCTTCCAAGAATGCATTTTCCTTCCTTCCAAGGAGCAGATTTCTCTCACTTCCTGTTGTCTCAGACATTCTTAACTTGGAGTCGTTTGTCAGTTGGATGCTTGTAACTCGGGGACAGCTACATTTAAGTGGCAATAACTTAAAAAGCAGAGTGACCCAAGAGTGCCATCCTATCTACCGAGACCAGGGGTGTCAAACTCATTTTCATTATGGTTGCCTTGGTGGCGCAGCGGGTTAAACCCCTGAGCTGCTGAACTTGCTGACTGAAAGGTTGGCAGTTCGAATTCGTGGACTGCGGGGAGCTTCTGCTGTTAGCCCCAGCTTCTGCAAACCTAGCAGTTTGAAAACATGCAAATTTGAGTAGATCAATAGGTACCGCTCCGGCAGAAAGGTAACGGCACTCCATGCAATCATGACCTTGGAGGTGTCTACAGACAACGCTGGCTCTTTGGCTTAGAAATGGAGATGAGCACCAATCCTCCAGAGTCTAACACAACTAGACTTAATGTTAGGGGAAACCTTTACTTTACTTGAACCATGGTCTCAGGAAAATGTATTCCTGCATCTTCACTTCTGACGTCTCTCCTGCTCCTCGTTTTCCTGCATTAAAAGGCGCTGTTGTGGGTATTTGTGATTCCAAATAAGGTGTGTGGTGCAGTATTGACAGAGAAGAGTTCAGTCAATGGCCAGTTGTCGGCATTGTTCCTTTAACACTCTGATGAATTCTTGGTGTTTTTTTTTTTTTCAGTTGTCGGATTTGAAGTGCCAGACAAGTTTGTGGTGGGATACGCTCTAGATTACAATGAATACTTCAGAGATTTAAATGTAAGTATTGGTTAAGGTCAAGGGTCTAGAAGCCCGGAATCCACTGAGGAGCTGGATCTCGGCTCCAGAAGGCCGAGAGAAGAAGAAACAGGTTTATATATCAGAAAGGAGCTCATATCGATGAAGGAACAAGCTTCCTTTCTGGGACACAATGAAGCCATGGATTCAAATGGCAGGAAAACAGAATCCACCTTAATATTAGGAAGAACTTCCTGACATTTAGAGCTTTTTGATAGGGGAATGTGCTGCTTCCTTGGGAGTCTGGTGGAGTCTCCTTCTAGTGAGGCTTTCTAAGCAGAAGCTGGATGGCCATCTGCTGGTAGGGCTTGGATGGTGTCTTCCAGCCTGGCAGAAGCGGGTTGGACTCGATGGCATTTGCAGTCCCAACTCTAGGATTCCATGATTCAATAATCTGTCTATCTACCAGGGTTGGATGATCCTTGTGGTCCCCTTCATCTCTAGGAATCTATGATCCATCCATCCTATCTATCAGACTGAATGGCCCTTGGAATCCATCCCAACTTCAGTATTCTATGGTTCAACTGTCTGTCCGTCCGTCCGTCCGTCCGTCCATCCATCCATCCATCCATCCATCCATCCATCCATCCATCCATCTATCTATCTATCTATCTATCTATCTATCAGTTGGACTGAATGGACCTTGGAGTCCATCCCAACTTCAGTATTCTATGGTTCAACTATCCGTCCGTCCGTCCGTCCGTCCCTCCCTCCCTCCCTCCCTCCCTCCCTCCCTCCCTCCCTCCATCCATCTATCTATCTATCTATCTATCTATCTATCAGTTTGACTGAATGGACCTTGGAGTCCATCCCAACTTCAGTATTCTATGGTTCAACTATCCGTCCGTCCGTCCGTCCGTCCATCCGTCCTTCCCTCCATCCATCCATCCATCCATCCATCCATCCATCCATCTATCTATCTATCTATCTATCTATCTATCTATCAGTTGGACTGAATGGACCTTGGAGTCCATCCCAACTTTAGTATTCTATGGTTCATCCATATCCATCTATCTATCTATCTATCTATCTATCTATCTATCTATCTATCTATCTATCAGTTGGACTGAATGGACCTTAGAGTCCATCCCAACTTTAGTATTCTATGGGTTCGACTGGATGGCCTTTGGAGCTCCTCCAACTCAGGTATTCTATGATTCTAGTCCATGTTTTGCTGCATTATGATCGCTGTGCCACTTTCGGTGAGGCCTGAGTGGGCATGGATAGATATTTGCCCTTCTTTCATCCAGCAGTTTTGCCATTGGCTTATATGGGAGTAAGGAAGGCAACATGTTCCAGTGTGCTTAGAAGTTGGGAAACAATGTGACTCCGAGCCGCATTTTAGTCTTCTGCTTTCCCTCCAATGGCATCCGGTTCATTTACTCCCTGTGTCCCCCAAGTAGACAATGGCATGACTTTGAGGGCAAACCTCTGAAGGATATTTTTGAATGGCCGGCATTCTCATGTGCACTTTGTGTTTCCTGCCTTTTCAGCACATTTGCGTGATAAGCGAGACTGGGAAGCAGAAGTACAAGGCGTGACGAGCACTGGTTTCTCCAGCCGACTTCCACGGCATCCATCTTCCATGGCCTTCGGCTCCGGTTACCTGCTTCCCGTTGTGGCGTGTCATTTTGCTTGCTCTAATTTATTGCGTGTACAGTATGGGAACCGTGTCTTTCTCATCCACATCTGAGAAACAGACAGAGTGCAATTGTTTTCCCCTTTCTTCCTTCCTTTCTCCCTTCTATCCATCCTTCCTCTCTCTCTCCTTCCTTCCTTCCTCTTCCTCCTTTTTTTTTTTAATTTGCACTAAACGATGCTCCTGGTTCTCACTCCTTTCCTTTTGAAAAATTTGCTCCAAGTTCAGCTCTCCAAGGCATCCTCACCCTTTCTTTCAACCTCATCAGCTCAGAACTGAAATAGTTATATAAGTACTGTAAATGTATAAGGCATTTTAAGATGGGAAAATCTATATTAGTAATATTTTTTTAAGGAAAAAAACACAAATAATTTAAGTTTTATATATTGCAGTGAATGCAGGAATCAGGGGTGAATAGGGGATGGCTGCTATGCCCTTTGAAAGAGGGAGTCGCCGTGGTTTTGGAGGGAGTCTGGACACTGTTCTGCTCGACGGCTTTCCCGAGAGTTGCCTTACTTGCCTCTTCAGTGGAGTATATATCGAAAGAACAAGTGACGAAACTGAATGTTTTCCAAGCAGTTACCAAGCTTTAGGAATAATAATAATAAGAGTAATAATAAGGGCACAGTCCACTCCCGCAAATCCTGTAGATGGAAACGGGCATTAGTTCCCCCACTTTGGTGGATTGTGTCTTAGTGTCTCCTCGTTCCCTGCCTCTGTCAGCTTTAGCAGAGATGCCTTTCACATCTAAGAACCACCTTTCCGTGTGAAAAAAAAGTGATTGTAATGTCGTACAAAGTGCACCGAAAACAACGCACTTTAACAATAAAGCCTGTCTCTCCAAAGGTTTGTACTTGAGAGTTGTGAAAGCCTCTTCATACACAATGTATGAGCCTCTGCAGATTTGTCCCCTTCTCAACTTCTCCTTCCTTCCAATTTTCCTTCCATACCTACATTCAGATGAGGTTTTGGCCTTCTGGGGAAATGACACTGTTTTGCTCTGATCAGGTCCGTCGCGAAGGCGTTCATTAAACGCAGTTGTGTGGATGAGCAAATAATTAGCCCCATGGCTCTCTTTTTATTTATTTGAGTGGGGTTTTTTTTCAAAATTAGTAGGCGTGTTCCCTCCTGTATTCCCTTCTTGGCAAACGGTGCTGTGTGAGACAGTCGGACAGTCGTTTCTCTCTCTCGCTCCATTTTTACAGGGAACATTGCCCTCTGCTGACCAAGCAGCTTGCTACAAAAGCAGTGTGTATGTGCACACACACATCTCTACACACTTCAACTCCAAGACGGCTATGGGAGTTATGGGAAAGAATTCTGGGAAACGAAGTCCAGTAATAAAAAAGGACAAAAACAGGGAACGTACGCTGTGAGAGTTAGGAAAGGCTGTCCAGAAAGGCACAATCAAAACACTCCCGAAAGACGTCCATCCATTTTTACTTTATATCAACCCTGGGCTATAATATCTACAATAATAATATCTATATATCCACCATAATAATATCTACCAGTCTTTAATAATAATACGATGGGAATTTTTAAAGTAAGGTCCGTTGGAACATAAGTACACAACGAAAGTTTATTTCAAAAAAGTAAATTTATTTTCAGAAAGTACATACTTCACTCTATTTTTTGACATAGTTGCCAAGTTTGTTCAAACACTTATCATACCTCTGAACCAATTTTAAAATACCCTCTTCATAAAAACTTGCTGCCTGCTGAAGCCACCAAATCGTCTGTAATCAAAGAAGGGCGACCGGAGCAGTCCTCATCATGGACGTTGTCATGGCCATCTTTGAATTGTCATACCCACTTACGCACTTTGCTTTCACTCATTATTATTATTATTATTAAACTTTATTTGTACCCCGCTAGCATCTCCCGCAGGACTCGATGCGGCTTACAAAGGCCAAGGCCTCAACAACAATACAACAATACAAACCTAAGCAAATTAAAATAACTAAAGCAACCTAAAACAACAAGCAATAAACAATCCATTAAGACACAATAAAACTGTCCAGTCATAACAGTATCACCGTACACTTCACAAATCTGTCAATGAATTTCTGCAGCAGGCAGGTTCCTTGCTGACAAAAACCGTATCACTGAGCGAACCTCACATGCGGAGGGTGAGTTGATAGTCTTAAACATTTTTAAAGCACAGAACAGAACCGTACAGGTTAGCTACAGAGCGGAAACTGAGCACAGTTGTTCCCGAGGCATGCCGGTACACGACACACGCGCTCGTTGTGGTATGCGCGCGAACTACTAGTGTCTACAACAAAACGGACCTTACTTAAAAAATACCCCTCGTATCTATGTAATAATAATATACAGAGCATGCGTTAAAATGTATTATTATAAAATTTATAATAATAATATCTGTAGGTCTATTATAACAATATCTATGTCCAGGCCCATAGCCGGGGGAGGGCTTGAGGGGCTTCAGCCCCCCCCCCCCCCCAATTCTCAGGGTAGTCCACAGGAAGGCCTTACTGGTACATTATTTTAAACTGTTATAAGAATATCTATGTCAATACTAATAAAAATATCTATGCCTCTGTAAAAAAAAAATTCATGTCAGGAGCAACTTGAGAAACTGCAAGTCGCTTCTGGTGTGAGAAAATTGGCCATCTACAAGGTTGTTGCCTGGATGTTTTGATATTTTACCATCCTTGTGGGAGGCTTCTGTCATGTCCCCACATGGGGAGCTGGAACTGACAGAGGGAGCTCATCTGCGCTCTCCCTGATTTCGAATGTGCAACCTGTCAGTCTTCAGTCCTGCCGGCACAAGGTTTTAACCCATTTATTTATTTATTTATTTATTTATAGCTTTTCTATTCTGCCCTTCTCACCCCTCAGGGGACTCAGGGCGGATTACAGTATACACATGTATGGCAAACATCCAATGCCAATTTTGACATACAACATATACAGACATACACAGAGGCTATTTAACTTTTTCTGGCCGCCAGGGGAGCTGTCGCTTTCATCATCCATCTGCGATGCTGATGAAGCACTTCCGCATTCCCCGCATGCTTCCCCGCTGGAATGCTTTGCTGGAGTCTTCTTTATGGCCTCATAAATTAGTTAATTTAGCCTCCCCACACTTTAATGTGGTACCTAATTTTCCTACTTGACAGATGCAACTGTCTTTCGGGTTGCAAAGGTCGACAACAGGCTACACACAATTGGTTGGAAACCCACTCCAACCCGGGCTGGCTTCGAACTCATGACCTTTTGGTCAGAGTGATCTTTAATGCAGCTGACACTCAGCCAGCTGCGCCACCGGGGGCTCCACCTCTGTAATAATAACAGCTATATTATATCAATAAAATAATAATAATAATAATAATAATAATAACTAGATGCATATAACATCTATAGGTCTGTAGTAATAATAATATCCATACATCTGTAATAATAATACCTGTATGTCAATAATATCTATACATCTATAATGATAATACATATATGCCTTTAATAATATCTGTGTCTATCTATATAAATAAAAATGTATTTGTGATATTAACAGAACTCAAAAACCACTGGACGAATTGACACCAAATTTGGACACAAGACACCTAACAACCCAATGTATGTCCTTCACTCAAAAAAATGATTTTGTCATTTGGGAGTTGTAGTTGCTGGGATTTATAGTTCACCTACAATCAAAGAGCATTCTGAACACCACCAATGATGGAATTGAACCAAACTTGGCACACAGTTCTCCCATGACCAACAGAAAATACTGGAAGGGTTTGGTGAGCAGTGTCCTTTGGTTTTGGAGTTGTAGTTCACCTACATCCAGAGATCACTGTGGACTCAAACAATGATGGATCGGGACCAAATTCTACACGAATACTCAATATATCCAAATGTATACCAGATTTGGACACAAGACACCTAACAACCCAATGTACGTCCTTCACTCAAAAAATTGATTTTGTCATTTGGGAGTTGTAGTTTGCTGGGGTTTATAGTTCGCCTACAATCAAAGAGCATTCTGAACCCCACCAATGATGGAATTGAACCAAACTTGGCACACAGTTCTCCCATGGATTGGGACCAAACTCTACATGAATACTCAATATATCCAAATGTGGTGGAGTTTGGGGAAAATAGAATCTTGACATTTGGGAGTTGTTGCTGGGATTTATAGTTCACCTACAATCACAGAGCATTCTGAACCCCATCAATGATAGAAATGGGCCAAACCTCCCACACAGAACCCCCATGTGGGCCACAGCAACGCGTGGCAGGGGACGGCTAGTAATATCTAAATACGTATAATAATATCTATATATCTAAAATAACAATAATAATACCTATATAATATCTTTGAACTGGACTACATGGCAGTGTGGACACAGGTAACCCAGGGCCCTTCCACACATCCATATAACCCTTTGGCCTTGAGGAGACTGAAATGGGCCTAACACTTTGCCACTTCAGTTGTGTATTGATAGCTTAGGAACCAGCTCTTCCTCTTTCCTTTCTTTCCCATTTCTCCACAAGGCACCACAGTAACGCGTGGCCAGGTACAGCTAGTATATATATAAAAATGCTCTGTGCCTCGTGAGTACGTTAAAAACAAAAGAACCAATGAATGAAATCACACCCAATTTGGCAACAAAACGTCTCACAATGCAAGGTGTGACCAACAATAATAAAAAATTAAAAAGAACTAACAAATCCTAAAAAAGGAGAAGATGCCACTGGGCATACGTACAGGGACAGTGCCAAGGCTTGAGCCACAGAGCAGAAGCAGGAAGAAGCTTCTCTGCCTCTGCCGTTGTGCTGCTGGTGCCGGCGCTGGTTGTCATGTTGACTGCCTGGGCAAGGCCTGGCCCTCCTTTCCCAGGCACAGTTGCAGGCAGAGAGGCTCCTTCTCCTCCTCCTGGCACAAGGGAGCAAAAAGGAAACGCGTGTGGAAGGAGAGCGAAGGGCCTGCCGCTCCCCCAGCTGAGTTCAGACTGCACTTTGAAAACAGGTGAACTATAAATCCAAGCAACTCCCAAATGTCAAGGTCGTTCCCAAACTCCACCAGTGTTCAAATTTCTTTGTTTCGGTTCACAGTGCTCTCCAGATGTAAGTGAACTTCTATTACTATTACTATTACTATTACTATTACTATTACTATTACTACTACTACTACTACTGCTACTGCTACTGCTACTATTATTATTAAGCAGAGGCTGAATGGCCATCTGTCAGGAGTGCTTTGTGCTTTTCCCTTATGGCAGAAAGGGCTGGACTGGATGGCCTTTGGAGGTCTCTTCCTAACCTAGGATTCTGCTACTATTATTCTTATTCTTACTATTAAGAAGAGGCTGACTGGCCATCTGACAGGGGTGCTTTAATTGTGCTTTTCCCTAATGGCAAAAGGGGCTGGACTGGATGGCCCTTGGAGGTCTTTTCCTAACCTAGGATTCTGCTACTATTATTATTATTAAGGAATCCCACTGGAGCATTGCAGCGCACCCCAATACCTGGGAGTCACCCTGGACCGTGCTCTGACCTACAAGAAGCACTGCCTGAATATCAAGCAAAAAGTGGGTGCTAGAAACAATGCCATACGAAAGCTGATTGGCACAACCTGGAGATCACAATCAGACACAGTGAAGACATCTGCCCTTGCGCTATGCTACTCTGCTGCTGAGTATGCATGCACAGTGTGGAACACATCTCACCACGCTAAAACAGTGGATGTGGCTCTTAATGAGACATGCCGCATTATTATGGGGTGTCTGCGCCCTACACCACTGGAGAAATTACACTGTCTAGCCGGTACTGCACCACCTGACATCCGCCGGGAAGTAGCAGCCAATAGTGAAAGGAC